TTATAATTCTGCATCAAAAGGAAAATTCTGCTTAATTTTATTGAGTTTCTTTAAATAAAATCTTTAAAATTGGAGAACTGCCCTTTGCTTTTTAACATAACTTTTTTTTTTCTGTTTAGGGATTTTTCATTCATTGTTTCGTCTAAAAATGCAAAGCATTACAAAGAAAATTTTAAAATAACAGGAGAAAACAGCCGTAAAAACACAGAAGGTAGTTCTATAAGCAAATCTTTCATCAGTTATGCACCACAAATTTTAAAATAGTTTTTTTTTTTTTTATCTGAACAATTATTTGAAATGTGTCTTTTTGCTTAATTGATATACTATAACATAATGCCTCTCTTTATGTCTTCTTTTTTGGTTATAACTATAACTGACTATTGCTATGTTCCTTTTTACAATTTCAGTAATCCACTACTGCATTGGCTAAATCATTATAAAAAAAAAGATGTTTTTGGTTTACCTACTAAATTCTTAAAAGTTGGTCAAACAGTCCTGCAAATTAAACAGAACAGTTCTGCTGATTTCATTTACTCCAATTAGCAATAACATTTAAATTATCTCAATGATTATCGCTGCAGCATTATTAATTTGGAGTGGCACTGATGCTCCCATTAAAGACGGATTTATCACTCGATCTCTGAAAAGCTAGAGATAAAATAGCACCGATTCAGCAGCAGTGGGTTGCTTTGTGTCCTTTATGTAGAACGGGCTTTAATCTCTAAAATTGCTTTTATGAAAAAAAAAAGACTAAATGCTCAGAAAATCCTGCCTGACTTTTGTGCGCCGTGTGTTGTTTGCTGCACACTGCCACAGACTGAGTCAAGCTTCCGGGGAAAGGTGTGAGGAGCTGTGATTCACTGTGCATCTGATGATTGCAATAATGGTCTCACAGCAGTGCTGGTCATTATTCTGCTTGCTGTTTGGACTATTGTTTGTCACAGAGACAGTGTTTTGGTGACATGGAGAAGTAAAAAACAGAGGCAGTTCAAATTTACCAAGGAGAAACATTAGGCATTATACAAAAAGTTTTTTTAAGACCCTGGTTGTACATTATTCTAGTTTTTGCTGTTTATGTAAAACAAACAACAAATAATCTATTTTGTTTTTATCTGATTTGTCTCTCCTTTAGTAGCTTATCAGTATTTTTACACACAAAAAAAAAATATATATATATATATATATTTCTTGAATTCTGGTGGATGAAACCAGCCGTAACTGTTAAACCTCTGTGTACACAGTATATAAAGGAGGGAACTCAGAGTTCTTTCCTTTAGGACTAAAACGGACCATCTTGAAATGTTCCACGTTTTGAAAGAGTAGATGCTTTACTGCAGAATAAAGATGGTAGAGGCAAAGCTCTGCAAAGAGAGATGGCCTCTTTGTATTAGTTGTTCTCAGTCCACTAAGATTAGTGCAAACCTCTGGAATAAAACTAGCCTTGAGCGAACGCCGTTTCCTGGGACGCATTTGAGAAAAAAAACCTAATGGAATAACAGAGATGTAATCCCTTGGGCTATTCCTAGTTGACCCCCTTACTGTACATGAGCGACTGAACTGAACTGTTTTATCTGTTGTGTCAAAATTCTTTAAGAATATTTCAATCCCTGCAAGTCTCTCTTGTTGAAGATGGTGTGGTTATTAAAAAAGATTTGAACTGCACAAATTACACAGAATAAGTGATATTAAAGACTTGTTTAAGAATAATAGTCTTAAGAGGTCACCAGTAGATCTCTTACTTGCCCTGTATAACTTCAAAGACAAATTTGTTTATTAAGTGAAATAAAAAAGATCTTATAGTGCATGTGATAGTTTCAGATATATGTTTCAAATAAACAAAGGTTTTTGTTTTTTTTATCTTACAAATGATGAGTTACCAGAATATATCTCATCTGCCTGAATGGAGTAGTTGCAGTACTTCAATGTTGAGAAGTGCCTTCTCATAAGTTTCTTTGTCGGTTAAAATGGTAAAATCAAATAATTTTCCTTAATTTATCTAAACTAGGGGACTTCTGAGAGAGATTATGAAATTAATTTCCCATATAGGATCCCAACATGTGTTGAATTGGATCTCACTGTTTTGTCTCAGCATTCCTCTGTCTAGATCAAGCATGCCTTAAGTCGGTCCTTGAGGACCGCTGTCTTGCAGGTTTTAGGGGTTTTCCTGCTTCAGCTCACCTGATTCCCATTCATAGCTGATTAAAATATAAAAAATAAGGGAATTATGTTCTAGGTATTATATTCAAATAATATTTTGACCAATATGAAAATATTAGTTTTATTATATTTTTTAAAATATATTTGAAGGAAATTTCTTATTGGGAGATTTTGTATATTTAACATATATTCAACTACCAAAAATCTCAAGTTTTCTTTATAAAAAAATATCTTATCAAGTTTAATAATAAGTAAACATCTTTTTAGAACAGAATAAAACTAGATATAGAACTATTTTATGATCGGTGAGCCGGGTTTGGCTCTCCGATCATAAAATATTGATATATTATGTATCTTTTCCTCCACTATTTAGAAAAGAAACTTTACTTTCCAAAAGCTAGTTTTCACTAAGGAATATTTTGCCCTTTGCATTATAGTGAAATTTAGTTGACAAGTACCGCAAGGACATACACTCTTATAAGGTGTATTTTTATAAGCCTAAAGTTTTGTTTTTTTTTCACTTCACATTCTAGTTTCTTTGTTTAAAGCCGCAAGAAATATCTGCCTTTTGTCTTGACTGAGGTTGCAGACAGTCAGAATCTCTTAACTCCCACTCTTCTACACAAGCTTCCATTTTTATTGTAAGGCCTGCCAAAAAAAATGAGACATTATTCCATATAAGCCAAAACATTTATATGGTAATTCTGGAGGTTTGCAGTATTTTCGCAGTGGACTTCGCTCTCTCTAATTCAATTTTTTATATCACTGTACATTTGTATCAGCCTAAGGTTAACTTTTTATAGGGTTTTTTAGGGTTATGGTTTAACAGACTGATCATTTTGGTTTAAAAATACTTTTTTTTATAAAGGAAAGAATATATGTCCTGCAAACTTTAAATTTGGCTTTTCAGAGACTTTACTTAGACTGAAACTTAGACTAAAATTTATTTATCCCTTGGGATTACTCCTTCAGGGAACCTCTGGTTACTGTAGCTTATAAAGAGTACAAAGAGTTAAAGCAAGATGCCATTAAAGACAAGACAATATAAAGAAAGTATATAGTACAAAAAAGCATAAAAAAGAATGTTGTAATGTCCTGGAGTATGTTTCCCTTATATAAAGATATTTCTGCAGTAGAGAACTAAGGGAAGACTATATAGTAGTTAATTTGGGTTATTGCACTTTCACTGCAGAAATGTACTGACCATATAAAATAAGTAAAAAAAAAATACACAGCCTACACAGTAGTTGGCATGTGTTATTGCACAGTGAGAGAAAAAGTATTGCAAATGAGTGACAATAGGTAATGTTTCGCATAAGATGTCCAAAGAGGGGGTGCTGACCCTTGTCCCTCTTCCAATTGCCTCCTCCGTCCCCCCAAGTGAGGAGTTGTGTTGTACAGCTTGATGGCTTGAGGAACAAAGGAGTTCAGCAGTCTGTTTGTCCTGCATTTGGGGATGATCAGGCTCCTTTGAGTGGTGAAAACTGTGGTGAAGAGTGTGGCTGGAATTGTTCATAATTTTCAGCAGTTTAAGTGTCCTTGTCTCTACCACCGTCCCCAGAGAGTCCAGCTTCTTGCCAATCACAGAGCTTTGTCCAGTCTGGAGGTGTCCTTCTTGGATGAGCTGCTATGGATGAAAAAAAAAAGGAATGTTAAAAATGATTTAAACCCTCTTCAATAGTCATTTCAAGAAAAAAAAAAGTTTTATAATCAGACCTTTCTTGTAAAGCTTTTTGCACAGTATATTGACGATTTATTGTTGGGGATGACCAGAAAGTCAAAGGATCTCTTGGAATCACCTTCCAAAACATTAACATTATTTACAGTCAGAAGAAACAGCTTGGTAAAACGAAAGATGAGTTTTAACCTAAATCTGCCATGGTATGACACATTTTTTGGCCTAATGGTATCTTTCACAATAATGTTGATGTAAAAAAAAAGTTATTTTAGCGAGTTTCTCTTAATACAAAAGGAGTACTACTATATAACATTAATTTAATGCAAAACATTTAACAAAACCAAAGACTCTTATATGTTTCTCCCTCTTCTTTATGTTCTTTGCTTACAAATCTTAAAAAATGCTTAATCAAAGCTCAGAAAATGATCAAGGGCTCTGCATTACATAAGGCTGATTGGCATAGGTGAGACATTTTAGTACAAACGGCCTCAAACATGTCCTCACATGTATATTAGTGGCTCTCCACCATTAAAAAGGACTAGCTTTTTAAATGAAATTACAGCTCAAAATCCCCCAAATAAAAACAATACATTTAACTGTTGCAGAGCCACGCTGCAAGTGTAAAACCGCCAATGGCTGAAAGAATAACAGCATTTCCATTTTGCATCAGTCATTCCTGACTATTAAAAAAATATTCATTGACCTCTTTCATTTTCTTTCACTGTAAAATAGAAAATGAATGTTGCGGCAGCTGCTGGAGCTGCAGTACGACATTGACTCACCGCAGACCTTGTGAGAAACAAGCCTGAGATCACTGCAGAAAGCTACATTATTAAAATAAGTCATTGTTATGGCTGTTATTGGCTCTGTTGTAATGTGAAATTATTAGTTCTTACATGCCCAGCTACATTCACCTGCAGAGTTATCAGATGCATAACTAGAAAAGAAGAACAATCGTACTACAAACTCCTTCCTACGTACTGTATGTGATTTAATTTACTCTATTCATTTTATCCTAAGTACATCATTGTGGATTAATTGTTTGCATTTTTTTTATCCATTAACCAAATCTAGCTTCAGATTAATGTGGGCCTTTCAGTACAGATGTTTGAAGAAATGTAGAATTTTTTGTTGGAAAACTTGAGGTGTTGCTCATTTTTGACAGGTCGCACTGTGGCAGGACTCTCTCTGACTGAAGGGCACAAGCTGCCATGCCGTTTGGTTGTCTCACACTCGGGGAGAAGAAGGATTACAACAGTCCCACAGAGGTGACTGACAAATATGACCTCGGACAAGTTGTTAAGTCGTAAGTGCATGTTTTTGTTTTTGTGGTTAATTCCCAGATATTTGTCAAAATCTTGGGAGTATTTAACCCATTTTAATTCAAATGTTTACCCTTTTTTTTCTACAGGGAGGAGTTTTGTGAGATATTTCGAGCAAAGGACAGGAACACCCTGAAAATGTACACATGTAAAAAGTTTAACAAAAAGGATGGAAGGAAAGTGAGGAAAGCTGCAAAGAATGAGATAATGATCTTGAAGATGTAAGTGAGCATGAATGAATTTGACCTAATGTAAAGTACTCCACCTGCATCAATGTTAAAAATACAGGCAAACGTAATTTTTCAGAAAATATTTGTGAGAAAAATATTTGATATTAGAGAAACTATATATAAGTACGTAGTATTACATTAAAAATTTGAAGTCATAACCATAAAATCTAAACTTTAATGGTAAGCAAAAACTAAAGAAACTTTGAATTTATTCTCACAATGAATTATTAAACAACTTTATCACTATGCAGAGACGATAGTAAGTCAGTCTTTCTGAGCTTACAGCATTTTTCCTACAAACACATCTTCAGCTGTTTTGTAAATGATTTGGAGAAAAGAAATATTTTTGAAGATAATATTTGTATTTAATTGTTTATTGTTGCTGTCTTTACACAGTGGCCTTTAAAAGTGCTCAGACCAATTCAAGTTTTATTTCTTTTTTCTATATTATACCTTTACATCCTGAATTATTGTTGGGATTTCACATTGGAAACAAAAATAATATTCATGTGAGATGGAAGGAAAAATGTCTTGTGTTTATTCATAAATAAAACTCTCAAAAGTTTGTTGTGCAATTGTACTGAGGCCCTTTTCTTGTTATAGTAAAAAAAAATAGCTTCTAATTTCAGAGTTCTTTATAAGTGTTTTTGCTAATTTAGAATAATGCTTTGTTACTATAATCCTACAGGCTAAGGTGTGTTTTTTTTTTTTTCTTAAATATATGACAGATAATCACAGAAAAACAAAGGAGGCAATGAAAAAGAAACTGATGAATAGGCAAGAACCCATGGACTGAGAAATATGAGAAAGGAGAGATAAATATCTGGTTAAATGTGCATCCAATCTGTTGAACTTGCAGCTTCAAAACACTGTTAAACTGTATATATTATTAAAATGTAAAAAAAAAAAAAAAAAGTTTAATAGACTTGGGAAAATGATTTCCCAAAGTTTTTACATACCGTATATCTGTTGAGGGCATATTTGGCAGTTTTTAATTGTTTATATCATTATCAGAATCATTGTACCGATCAAAATAAAGAAATAGATTTTGATATATATCTTTGGGTATATCCTCCAGCCCTCATTAAACCTATAACTAGAGAAACATTGAAGGGTTTATACCAAAGAATGCTCATGGGCCCAGTCAAAGAACAGTCCTAAATCTTATTCAGATTGTGTATAAAGTAGATGTGTTTATACAGTAGCACTTCAACTGAATCCAAAATAATGGATAGAATCTGGCATATGAACATTATTTAAGACATAAAAACAGCCGTGCTTCACAGCGATGATAGCAGACTACTCTCTGGTTTAATGTACCTGATTGGTAACCTGAGCAGTCAAATATACAGTAGCTGGTTTTGTGGTTTTATTGATGTTTTGTGGTTTTTATCCTGACATTCGTCATTGTTCTCTGCTAACACTTTTGTGGTTATTTAAAGGGTAAAACATCCCAACATCCTCTCGCTGGTTGATGCATTTGAAACTAAGAAAGAGTACTTCATTTTTCTGGAACTGTAAGTATTTCGGAGGTATCTGTTCATCAAAAAACTCCACTGATGTGACTCAATATTTTACAATGGATTTATGGTTTCATCAGTGCTACAGGAAGGGAGGTGTTTGATTGGATCTTGGATCAAGGGTACTACTCAGAGAGGGACACCAGCAACGTAATGAGGCAGGTGCTGGAGGCTGTAGCTTACCTGCACTCTCTTAAAATTGTCCACAGAAACCTCAAGGTAAGGTGCAATAATGACATCTAGTGAAAAAAAGAAGCATTTCACCACAGGAAAAATCTCTGTTGTAATGCACATTATGGCAACCTTCACAGATCAATATATGATCAGCAAACTGAACCCTTTGTTTCTTGGTCATTCTTGAATGCAGTTGGAGAACTTGGTGTACTATAATCGTCTGAAGCACTCCAAAATTGTTATCAGTGACTTTCAGCTGGCAAAACTGGAAAACGGACTCATTAAGGACCCATGTGGGACTCCAGAGTACCTTGGTGAGTGACACAACATCTTAAATGAGTTTATATCGTTGATTTTTCATAAAACAAATCATAATTTAATTAAATAAATGCTATAAGTATGAGACATTGGGTTTAATCTTACTGTACATGTAGCTCCTGAAGTGGTTGGAAGGCAGAGATATGGACGACCCGTGGACTGCTGGGCCATCGGTGTCATCATGTATATACTGTGGGTGCTCAATTACTATCTTTACATACCTACATATTTATGTCCATTATTTAGCTTCTTAACAAAATCATGATTCATATTTCTCTGTAGTTTATCAGGGAACCCTCCTTTCTATGACGATTCTGATGAAGAAGACCCAGACTGTCGTGACAAGAACCTCTTTTTAAAGATTTTGTCTGGGGACTATGAATTTGATTCTCCATACTGGGATGATATTTCTGATTCTGGTAAGAAATATAATTACAAGTCATACTTGTTAATATCAGCATTGAGCAAAAGGCTGAATACCAGAAGCCTTCTTTTTTTGTTTGCAATGTGTTTTACAGCAAAGACCCTGGTGGCTTCTTTGATGGATGTCGACCAAGATCAGCGGTTGACAGCTCAGGAAGCTATAGCCCATGAATGGTAAAAAAACAAAAAAACAAATGCAAATACACTTACTTAAATGACAATAACTATAATTATTTTTCCAGTTTTAAAGATGATTGCATGATTCAGGTTCTAAATCAAGGTTTATGGGTGTTTAATTGTGGTTACTTCATTAGTGAAACAATAATCTCATAGGAAGTGTCATTACACACTAAAATATAAAGAATCAAATAACTGCGATCAAGTCAGAGGCAAATATATCGTAGTGCTTTTTTTACCTGCATTGGGAAGTATATAAAATTTGTTTGAAGGAGCTTTGGTTGACTGAAGGGAATTTGAACCCCCATCAATCTCCATTACACAGCTCTGTTATAATACAAAGCATTCTCTGTGTCTTCCTGAAATTTCCCAAATTGTTTTGACCAACTAACTCCACATGTGATGATTCCACTGATGCCCTCTGGTGATGTTTTGTGATGCTGCAGCTTCAAATCATTCTATGAAAAGCTCTTAGTGTGCAGCAAATTCGTTCTAGATCAGCCGACCTTTAATTGGGTTCATAGCTTTTTGTGCCTAGTTTTGTATAAACCCCAGTGACAACAATTTTAATCATTAATCTTTTGAATTTCTGTATGAACTGAAGAATATTCTTCTGTTTTTTGTGGTTTAGGATTTCTGGAAATGCGGCCTCAGACAAGAATATAAAAGATGGTGTTTGTGCACAAATTGAAAAGAACTTTGCCAAAGCAAAATGGAAGGTAGTATCTTTCACCTACGTGATAAATATTCACATCAAACTGAATCTCTATTTGATGTCAGTGTATTATAAAAATAACCCAATATGATTTACTAAGCTATTTAAATCCAGGCTAACAAATGATCAGATACAGACCAAGGCTAATCCAACACACCAGGACTTTATTATTGCTTTTACCCACAATACTAAGTTAGGTTTTTAATCCAAAAAATATTTATGCAACCAAAGAGTGGGTTTAAAAGAACAACCCTGATACCCACACGGTTTAAGTTAGAATTTAGTCATCTAATTTATTTTCTGTTGCTCTTCCTACTTGTATTTATATTTTGATCTTATTTAACAATTACCTTTTCAAATATATGATCTTTATTTAATTAAGTACGAAGAATGTTTTCCAGAATTCAAAGAAATTTTTTAACTGCTTGGACATTTTCATTATACTCTGGTAAAATAAGATTTTATTACAGAAAGCTGTCCGGGTGACGACCCTCATGAAACGGCTTCGAGGTCCTGATCAGGGTGACTCAGGTGCTGCGGGGGGCGCTGCTGGGGCATCAGCCGATGCCCACACACCCAGTGGTGATCCTGCTCCTTCAGCTGGGGGCAGCATCAGCATGGCCGCGGCGATTAAGGCTGCTCTTAAAGAAAATGCCTCTGACACACAGACTGCAACCAACCCTGCACAATCTGTGCAGCCTGCAGCCAGGCAGGAGGAGCCGCAGCAGTCACGGTGCAATGGGGATGCTCCACAAATGGTGCCACAGAGAAAAGGAGACTAAGCCAACTGATACACAAATAAGACCCATGATACGGTAAGTCATGGGCCAACAAGCACATGTAAAATCTAACCATCTGGCATCATGAATACGTCTTTGTGCTGTCTGACAATCATAGTTTGCAAACCTTTCATCTTTTGCCTTTTGTACTGGTTGATTATAAGTGTTCTCCACCTTCCTTTTTCCTTTTGTTATATTGTGTATAGGTCGCCCAAAACGATTGTTGCAAAGAAGCTTTTTAATCGTTTCCCCTTCCTTGAGAACTGTATAAAATATTCAGGTAATTCTTTGCTCATTGTGTAACTTAGTGAGAAAAAAAAAAATCATTGTAGCCTTATTGTATATACATTCATCAAAATAAATTGCTACTTTTTAGCTTTAGAACCTTGAAGTCTGAGTTTAAATCTTGTAACTTAAAATTATAAGTTGAAATAGTTGATCTTTGATCACATTATAGTTGTTTTTAAATTAAATAAATACTTTTTGAGCATATTTGAGTGAATGTTCCTAAGACAAAATAAGACAAAGTGTGAATATTTTTATGAGACTTTTTGGACAATTGGACATGTAAGAAATATACATAACTGTAAAAAAAATATGTTGATATCAATTTCAAGAGCCATTTTTAATAAAACATTATATAACCGAAAAAGGAAATTTATTGACCATATATCTACACATTTAGTGCTTTAGTCATTTCCTCAAACAACTTAAAATTTTAAGGCATCAAGAATGCACATTTTTAAGTTCAAGTGCCTTATCTTTTGTTGCAGTCATGTTTCTAGTCTTGATTTACAATGCTTTTTGAATTAAAGGAAATATGTAAAATGTTTAATTGACTTCCGTTTTGGGTCTTTGATTGATTCTTGTATTTGTTCTCTCTCACGGCTTCATTTATTCTACACAAAAAGAAAACGAAAATTATTTAGGATGTTCTGTGTACTGTGATGTTTTCACTGTTGCTGTATTGTAATTACTAAATAAAGAATTTATTGTAAAGCCATTATATTTGTGTATACAGGTTTATTGTGTGGTTAAAATTATCTAGATATATCATGCCACACATCACCAGTGAGGTGTGATATAACTACACAGGAGTGTACCAGTTTTACCTTTCTAATACAGAAAAAGGACACTTCAAGGGAAATAGTTGAAGACTGTGATTTAAATGCAACAAAAAATAGATGCAGGTTGCATTTGTATCACTGTCTGCAAAAATTGACGCTGATCTGTAAATTGAGAGCATTACCTTTTGGTTCATCTCTCGCTTTACCACAACAGACCTGTGGAGAGTCAGCTTTACAGCGGTTTCTCAAACTCCCGCTTAATTCTCCTCCCACTCATTAACCCTGTCCATGAATATTATGAACAAGACAGTGACAGAGGGGAGCCCAGCTGCCAGAGTCAAACATGCCCTTGGAAAATGTCCAATTCCAATCAGACCCCTGGGCTCAATCCGAGTAACTCAAACGGTAGCTCATACCTCCTGTTCCTAGCTCCTATGCCTTCACCTTTTGCAGGGTCAGCAGGGAAAACACTATCCAGGCTAGGATAGGAGCTGCTGCGCTGAATGCAGACAGCCTTCAGCCTTATAAATGTCATTATGTGGTGGACACACACATGAATAACGCTGATCAAATTCGAACAACAGCCTACTGGAAAAGAACCACAAAAAAATAAAAGTTACCTAAGTGTAGCAAACAACTGAACCTCTCTCTTATAAAGCCTCAAACAAATAAAGCTGTGTAAATGATCAGGTATCACATAGAGTAAATAACACAAAATAAGGTGGTACATTGGTGCTAGGTGGCATACTACCTACTGCACCTAGCTCCATGCTGAGTGCCGGTACTATTCAGACAGCAATCATTATGGACAGATTGAGCCCTGCTTTGCTTGTAAAGAGTCTGGATGGCCACTAAGAAAGGGCTTCAGATTAGGGCACCCCGACATACCATGTGGGACATAACTGAATGTTTTCTCCAGGTCCACAAAGGCCAGTGGACTGGTTTGAAAAACTCTTATGAACCCTTGATTACCTTTGCACAACCTGCAATCAATATTTATGCATTGTAATAAACCATATGGGTGAGAAGAAATTATATTCTATCTTTTTAATATACTTGTTTTCTTTTGCAAGTATGCAGCTTCTGCCTTTCACCAGCAATGCTGCACATCACTGCACATCACTGAAATAGATATTAAATAATTATGAGGTTGAAAAAAGTTGCAGATGGTCGACACAAAAGCAGTATTTAAATTAAGGTACAAATTTCGAAAATTGTATTTAGTAAAAAAAATACAAACAAATCATAATGGCAGCAGCCTCTGGAAGTAAGAAAAATATATTGACATTTATTTCAAATACAAAAGATGTTAAAGAAAATTGAAATTTGAGAAAGAATGGACACAAATTCCAGAAAGCGAAGAAAAATAAGCGGTAATAACAAGATTAAAGTTAAAACATACAGTTATACAACATTAAATATGATGGAAATACATCCACCATGCAAATATGAGTGGTGAATGGATTTGGAAACAGTAGACCATACTGTTTATAGTGAGAAAGTAGTAAGTAGAGACTTTTTTCCCCCCATGTTTTATTGTCATTACACTGTCAAGTACAGCGCAACGAAATTCACTCTTTGCATTTAACCCATCCCTCAGGGACCAGGGGAGCAGTTTGCGGTTAAGAGTCTTTGCTCAGAGACTCAGAGTGGCAGTCTGGGGGAGTGGTTTTGAACTCACAACCTCACGATTCCAAGCTCTATGCCCTAAACACTAGGCCGCCATTTATAAGTTATACATGTTACATTAATTAAAAAAAAACATATATGTAGAGAATGTATTTATTTTTATAAGGAACGGGGTTGTTTGCAAAAATATTGATTGGGTTAGTGAAGGGTGAAGTATTGATACTCCAAAACAGGAGGTGGCGATAATGCATCTTAACGTTTGATGACAGTCGCCAGCAATCCGGAGAAGAAGAAGAAGAAGAAGAAGAAGAAGAAGAAGAAGAAGAAGAAGAAGAAGAAGCAGCAGTTCGTCTCCATTTTTGCTTCAGCTCTTTTAAACAGACGCTGCACAACAGGATTTATGAATAAAACGTTATTAAAAGAGCATCTGAGGTAGGTCTCCTTGAGAAAATATTACTTTTATTAATATTTTAAAGTGTTATCGATGGGACAGCATTTGTTTGAGTACGAGTAAACGCTGGGGAACTAGCTCTTAAACATTAGCTAGCCACTTCAAAGCGTCATCGCATTACTCTTCATTATCTGAGAAAAAGAGATTTTAGATTAAAAATTTTACATGTTACCGTCATCATTTAATGGTTTTTCTGAATCGCCGTACGTGCAGTAATTTATCACTTGTCTTCTTTTCCGAATAATAAAGGGCCTTGTTGTGGAAGCTAAAGTTAGCTCGCCACCATTTTTTGCAGTCACTCCCTCAAGTCATTTCTACCACTGATCTGACAAAATACTGCAACCATCTTCAAAGAATTCACTCCCTACCCCCCCCCCAAGAAAAAGAAAAGGAAAAAAACAACAACAATGTTGCTAACTGACTGGAAGAAACATGTATATGCTCGCTTGTTGAAAAATAAACACTTAAATTGTGTGTGTGTTTTTTTGTTGTTTTTTTTACAGGATACGAATATTAACTGTCTTTATTTGTGAATTTTTTTAAATATAGAATAGTTGTAAACATGTGGGATGGACCAGGACCACGGGGAAGACCACCCTTTCGGTAAGGGAACGGCGATTATTCCTAATATTTATAAGAGTTTCACTTTTTTATGTAAACAAATGTTGCTTGATTTATGTTGAAAATCCAGTTGGATTTGTGATAGTAACTGTTTAGAGCCCTTTAAACTCCTGTATACAGACGAGATATCATATAAAATTAGATCTTAAAAGATCATAAGTTGGCAGTATAAGTGTTTTACGGCACAAAATCAGTTGTGAAGAATCCACATTTCCTTCAATTCTCATTTCCTCATATATCATTAAAATAAATCACTCTGTGCTCTTTAGTGTCTGGACACTAAAGAGCACTTTTTTGTGTGAAATTTGCTGCACAAAAAGTTGATTATATTAGTTATTTTCAAACTTAATATGAACTCTGTTTTATGATCATTTTATTAATATTTTACAAAGCAGTTTCTTTCACTTCATTTGTAATAAATGTATCTTCTGAATACTTGGACATTTGGCTGTATATTATTTTTTTAGGCTGGTACGTGCTGAAGTGACAGGGTTTTTCTTTAAGCTGTTACTGTCTGACATTCTCATCAAATTGCTTCTTAGGACTGATAATCATAGACCAGGGGTGTACCTTAGTCAGAGCTAGGCAAGTGGTGTTGCAGAGAATCATGTATGGTCTGACCATTCTCATGCTTTTTGATAAGATGCAAGTGCCATGAATTAATAGGACCACATCTCTCCATCAGATCACATGCTATATTGTATCTGGTGTGTTCTGACATTTAGTGTGTCTCAGAACAGTTTGCTTTCAGAATCACATAACAATTGGTAACAATTGATTGAATTATTCGAAGACCTTGATTACTAAAATTAATTTAGACAAATCTGCCTCAAGGCTTCCTTTATATCACACAAACAGTGCGTTTGGCAGATGGCCATGGTTACTGATAGCACACCCTGCTAATACATGATGGTAAGTGCGGTTTTTAGCAATGTAGAGAGACCACAATGTCCATAAAGAAGCTAGGAGAAAGAGTTGACGTTTTAAAGGAGTAAGTTCAATTAAAACTTTACTGAATGAAAATTGCCGGTGAGGTAGCTGGCATCCACTGACTTTCTATTTCCACAGCTCAGCTCTCAGTGCTACTGCTTGGCCTCCACCTTTGCTTTCAATAGAACATTGTTTTAATTGGTCAGCCTGTGGGATATAACATGGGGATAGTGTTTTGTTATGCCTGAATTTAAATGACATACATTACACAAGTGAAACTTGTTGAATTTTTTTAGTTGAATTTTTTCAGCTTTAAATAAATTTTTTTTTTTTTTTAATGAAAAAAAATGAACTGAATTGTTTCCATTTTTCCTGTTTTCTCATTGCTCATTAAATAATGTTAAGAAATTAAGTGCACAATCTGCAGAATGTGCTTTTTCTTTCTGGTCTTGCTTTAAATAACCATTAACAATGATACATTATGTCAAGATTCCTGTAGTTTTGTATTAAAGCCTGTTCTAAATGCGCGTTTACTTGAAACCAGGCCTTGCATAATCACCTGATCAATTTTATTGCAGTTACTCATATAGATTAACAATAAATGTTTAATTGTTTACAAGCAGCCTTCTCTAAATCCTCTGATAGGTTACTACCAGTAGTCCATGTAACTGACTGCATTGTAAAGAATCTTTTTAATCATTGATGTAGCTTATTTATTATTGTGAAACCCTCCAAAAGACTCAGTCGTAACAGACAAAAACAGGTTTGGGTCATTTTGGCCCTTGTCACTGTTGTTCGTTTTGATTTTTTTC